CAGCCACTGCACTCCAGTCTGGGTGACAGAGTGAGACTCCAACTCAAAAAAAAAAAGAAAAGAAAAAAAAATACAGTATTTGTACATGAGGGAATACTACGGGGCCATAAAGAAGAACAAAATAATTTTTTTTTTTGCAGCAACATGGATGCAGCTTGAGACCATCATTCAAAATCAACTATCACAGAAACAAAACTCTGAATACCGCATGTTCTCACTCGTAAGTGGACACTAAACATTAGGCACACAGTCACAAGGACAGGAACAACAGACGATGGATACTACTAAAGGAGGGAGGGAGAAGGATAAGAGACACCAAATCACCCAGTGGATACTGTTCCTACCACTGGGGGTGGGAGGGCTCGTCAGAAGCCCAAATCTAGTCTTCACACAATATACTTATGTAGCAAATTCTCATATGTACCTCACAATTATAAAATTTTTAAAAAACCAGTTTTTGCATAAACTCACTCATTACCACAAGAACAGCACAAAGTTGTTCTTTAGGAATCCATCCCATGTCTCAAGAACCTCCCACTAGGTCCCACCCCCAAAAGTGGGGATTGCATTTCAATGTGAGATTTGGAGGGGACAAATTTCCAAACCATATCAGTGCTCTTGTCAGATATTTTAGAACAGATTGCCAAGGAAGCAGTACTGCTTCATTTGAAGTGGGTATTCACAATGAATTCTATTTGTATTGTGCAGTGCTGATGCCTTCATTGTTAGCTGTTCTCAGGAGCTCTCTGGCTTTTAGAGTGTTGATTAAAGATGTATTCTGCTGTCATTAGATGTCACTGTTGCCCCTACCTGAAGCAGCCTTGAATGGCAAAGAAAGTAGGCTTATAACATTATCCTGAATTATTTTATTCATTTCTAGGAATCCTGCTTGAAGGAGGATGCTGTCAAATTGGTTTGAGTTTGGAACCACTTGAATCATCTCTGACAAACTTGGAAGGTGTTGAATATTAGAATGATAACGTTTGAGGAATAGTTGAAAGAACTGGATACTCCCTCCAAAAGAGACCAAATAGGGCTGCTTGAAGCACTAACCAGCAGCTTGGCCAAAAGTTGACTATTGAATGGTCAATGAGACCAGAAGGAAATTGTAGTTCAGTTCTCCTCCTTGAGGAAAAAGGGGGAGTCAGGAGTTGGAGAGATAATTCAAACTGCAAATGTCAAGTCCAAGTGTCAGAAGTAGAACTGTAAATGAGAGATAAAACAGAGAGGCAAGAGCCTAAACGGGTTCAAGATTGGAGTAGGTACAGAAGCAGTTTCAGGGCGACTGCCATGATAACCATCAGGTTTCCACATGTTGACTCTGTGATGGTGGATGTTAGTATAAGCCCTCATATGATTGCCAAAGTCACAGAGCCAAGATGCTGAGGACTTGGAAATTCTGCCATGAGAACTGTTACTAAATAGTTAAAGAGTTGCTAAGGACCAGAGTTCTGGATCTGCTACTCACTGACCGACCTTGGGTATGTCACCTGATCTTGCTGAACTTCCTTTTCCTTATTTGAAATTGAGTATACTACTACTGCTACATACATCACAAGGCGGGAGGTATAGATCCAATTATATAACGATGATAAAAAGACTCTGAAAACTATTAAATGATAAAGAAATTTTGAGTTGTGCCAATGGGTGAAAGTCATAAGAAACACAGTTTTGGTTCAGTACTCTGAAAATTTTTGCGAGTGATAGCTGCCTAAGAATGAAATAACTTGCCTTCTGAGCTAATGGGTGCCTCCATTACTAGACATGGCCATTGCAAGATTCTTAGGCAGAGGAAAGGCTCTCAGTTGGGTCTAGACATAAGCTCATGGTTGACCAGTTCTGTGAAATCATAGACAAACTAACTGTCTGTTGGTGCTTGGAGTATGTACACGTTTCTGAAGAAGGCCCATTATTTTCTTCATATTTTTAAAAAGGTCTATGATTCAGCAAAGGTAAAGGATAAAAGATGACATTTGATATAATTTGCAACTTGGTTGGGAATATTATCCTTTATGGAAAACTTTAAGATTAGTGCTCAAGAAAATTAGTACCATTTTTTTCCTTATGTGCCATCTCCCAGTTAAGGAGTCAAAAAGAGAGTCACAGAATTTTGTCCAGGCCTATGTGGCTCCTTTAAGATGTTTGCCCATGACCCTCCATTCCTGGCTTGGGACGGGGTATTTGGTAATGGAAGCTACCTCTTACTTTTCTCATACATCTCTTATAGAAAAATGATGGCAAATTATTTAAATAGCACTAAAACAAATAGTAGAAATACATTGTCCATGTAAAAGCAAACTGATCTTGATTATCTGGAGAGACAGGAAATGAAATGAATGAACTGATCACATCAATAACCGCCTACTATTTAAAAAGACCCAGATGGGGAGTGTGAACAAGTAAACAATTTTCTTTTCACTCACATAAAAGTATTGAGGAGGTAGGTCGTCCAGAGGTAATAGGGTATTTTGCTCTACAAGGTTGTCCAGGCCCCCATGATCTTTCACATAAAAGTCTTGAGGAGGTAGGTCGTCCAGAGGTAATAGGGTATTTTGCTCTACAAGGTTGTCCAGGCACCTATGATCTGTTGTTCTGCCCTCTTCAATACATAGCTTTTTGTTAATGATCTAGGATAGCTGCTCTTACTCCTGCCACCACATTTTCAAGCAAGTGGGAAGGAGAAAAAAGGGAAAGGGAAGGCATGCACCTTTCCTTTCCAAGGTATTAGCTGGGTGTCATATATGTCACTTCTGCTCACAGCTCTGCCCAAAACCTAGTTACAAGACACATCTCACTTAAAGGGAGATTGAAAATGTGATCTGTAGCTGGCAGCCATGTGCTCAGCTAAAAGTTCTGTACTATAAGAGTGGAGAAAGGATGTTGAAGAGACATGTCATCTTTGCCATAAACAACCTATCATTTAAGCATGCACTGGGACGCGTCCTTTAAAATAAAAATAGCATCAAGAACAGTGCTTTCCATGAAAGATGGCACAGAAGTTAGAGTTCCATAATCAAGAGTCATCCAGATTCCCCGCAGGCTACCTACATTAATTTACAAAGGAAACAACTAGGTTCACCACAAATGTAATTATTGCTGTAAACTCCAGAATTCTCCAAGCACACATGACCATCGGTGCTGTAATGAGTAGCTCCCACTTACCCTTAGCACTAAAGCCCTGGCTATTGGTTACCAATTAAATGAGTGGAGTAGGGGAAGCTGCCCCCAGCTAGTTGATGATCTTTCCCAATACTGCATATGGACCCAGAGAAGGTGCTAGGAACTGTGCCAGAGTTATTTGAATGCTGTCAGATGGTTTTACTCGAGGGATTTGAGGCCACTACCTTTGAAAACTAAATCTCTATCTCCCCGTACACCCTTGGCAGGATTTGGGTTTTGTTAAACCTAGGATGGTGGATCCTCTACCTGGTTAAGGGAATTCTTATTCCTACAAGCCACCTCCTTCCTCATACTAAGCCTCTTCTTATTAGAAGCCTCAGGTGCCTACACAGCTTTTACCACAGGACTTCACTATAATAAAAATGTCCAGAAAGGCAAAGTACTGATGGATAAATGGTAACAGCAGACTGGCCTGGCCACAAGTATTATTAAAAGTGTTTCTATGATCAGATAGGATAGCCTTGGTCAGTCTTCATAAATCTTGTTCTTCCCCTCCACCATCTCAAACTCTCTGTTTCCAACCAATTAATGAGCCCTAGCTACTCAACCACATGGCACCAAAATCCATCTCACACCCACTTCCCTTTAACTCTACCACCACCACCCTTGTCATGCTACCATCAACTCTCATCTCTACTACTGCAATAGTTTCCTGTCTTCCTGCTTTCACTCATGCCTCCTTCTAATCTACTTATTCTTCATGTAACAGATGTAAAACTTTCTTAAAATATAATTTACCTCATATCTCAACTCTGGTGAAAGTCCATCAAAGGCCTCCCCCTGCATTTAAAGACAAGTCTAAATTTCTGATTAGGCTTACATAAATGATAAATTGGTAAGTCATTAAGACATTTCTGTTTGGCTCAACAAGGATAATTAGCACCAGGAAAAGATATAGAATATCCTTATAATATTCCAAATGAAGCCTTTCTTATCCAAAACCAGAAACCATAAAGAAAAGTTTATATGTCTTACTTCATGAAAATTTAAAAGTTCCATATGTCAAAAGACATTATAAATATAGTTTTTTAAAAAATGTAAATTAATGGGAAAAATCAGAGAGAAAATTATAATCAAGGATTGTTATGTACAATATATAAAGAACATGTGAATCAGTAAGAAAAAGACAACTCCACAGAAAAACAAACATAGATGGTGTATAGACAAATCACAGAGAACAAAACAAAGATAAATATAAATGGCTAATAAACGTGTTTTTAACATTACAAATAACTTAAATATTCAATATGAAAAAGTAGTTAAATAAACTATAGTACATTCATATCACAGACTATCAAGAAACCATGATAAGGA